ACACTTGTTTCCCTACTATGGCTCCTGTCCTCTATGAGGTCATTTATATGTATTCCTTCCTGCGTATAATTCCCGACTACCTGGACAAAATCTCCAGCTTCACCATTACTGTCTCCCAGGACAGTATCTCCAGCTTCACCATTTCTGTCTCCCAGGACAGCACCTCCAGCTTCACCATTACTGTCTCCCAGGACAGCACTATCAGCCCCACATTTGAACATCAAAATGGTATACAATACCGACAGGTTGTTAGGTAAGACACATATGCAACAGTTAGACAACTTTATTCCGAAACGTTTCGCCTACACAGTAGGCTTCTTCAGTCGAATACAGAAAGTAGGCAGGAACAGTAGAGATGTGAAGACGATGTAATCAGTCCATCACCCTTGAAGGTGGATACCTAGGAATTTTCCCTCTGTGAGTCTTGTGACTGATGATCCGTTAAGCGTTATGTTAACTGGATCATTTGCAGCTTTGTTTCCAAACTGAATGAAATAGGTTTTATCAGTGTTCAGGGTAAGTTTGTTAGTCATCATCCAGGCAGATATTTTCTGTATTTCGGCACTGACTGTGTTTGCTAGTATGACTGTGTTTGGGTGGGAAAAGACATATGTAGTGTCATCTGCAAATAATATGGGTTTGAGTAGCTGTGATGCATTCGGTAGATCATTGATGTAGATGAGAAAGAGGAGTGGTCCAAGGATACTTCCTTGTGGGACTCCTACTGTGATTGGTTAGGTGGAAGAGTTTGCATCATTTGCATACACATATTGAGTTCTGTTACTAAGGTATGATTTTAGGTAGTTGAGGGAGTGGCCTCTGATACCATAGTGCGTTAATTTGGAGTACAGTAGTTCATGGTCGACTGTATCGAAAGCTTTATGTAAATCAATGAAAATGCCAAGCGGGACTTCTTTTCAAGTGCGGTATATATTAGTTCTAGCATGTGTATGATATCATCATTTGTGTTTTTATTATTCCTGAATCCAAACTGACAAGGGTGTAATATGTTGTGTAAGACGAGGTAGGAATAGATCCGTCTATTAATTAATTTTTCAAAGATTTTAGAGAGCAGTGGTAGGTTAGATACTGGTCTATCGTTATTCAAGTCAGCTTGGTCACCTCCTGTATGGATCGGAGTGACCCCTCGCTATTTTGAGGATTGTTGGGAAGGTAGATGATTTAATGGATTTGTTAAAGAGCGTTGCAATAATTGGTGATAATACTTGAGAAGCTTTTTTGTACATAAAAGCAGGCAAGTTGTTTATGTCTCCTGCCTTGTTTTTAAGGGTGTTTATGATGAGCGTAACTTCTATGGGGTTGGTTGGAGCTAGGAATAGCGTATTTGGGTAGGTACCTATGAGGTAGTCTGATGGACGGGTGTTTGCGCTTGGTATTTTGTTCGCTAGATTTTTTCCTATGGTGGAGAAGAAAACATTGAGTCTGTTTTCCGTTTCAGTTGGCGTGAGCAGGGGTTCATCTGATTTTGTTAGTTTGATTGTTTTGTTTTTGAATAACTTTTTAGTTCCAAGAATTTCAGATAGAGTTTTCCAGGTTTTTTATGATCCACTTAATATTTGTATTTATAACTCATTACAATTGTGACCAGGTGTGGACGTATCAGTGGTTCATTACTTTGTAATTTGTTCATGACTGTAACCATGTATAGGAGTGAAGCTGATTAATTACCTCTGTAACTTGCCATGATTAGTGACCAGATCTACCTGGAGTTCATTACCTTTGTGACTAGTTCAGCTATCATAACTTTGGGGTCCAGTCACTGGACCCATTATGTACCTTTGTAATCTTTTGACTACCGCCCACAGGATGGGTATGGGGTGCATAAAGATATTAAACTAAAGTGTGTGTGTGTGTGTGTGTGTGTGTGTGTGTGTGTGTGTGTGTGTGTGTGTGTGTGTGTGTGTGTGTGTGTGTGTGTGTGTGTGTGTGTGTGTGTGGTGTGTGTGACTCAACAATCAATATTTGCACCAATAACTCATTACAGTTGTGACCGGGTGTGGAAGTGTGAATTGCTCATTACTCTATAATTTGTTCATGATTGTAGCCAAAGTATAAACGTAAGTAACCATTCTACAGAATTCACTACCTTTGTAACTTGTGAGCTCATTACCTTTGTACCTAGTTCAGCTATCAAAACTTTGGGGGCCCAGTCCCTGGACCCATTACGTACCTCTGTAATCTGTAAATACCTTTGTAACTTGTCATGATTGTGACCAGACTTACCTGGAGTTCATTACCTTTGTAAATTGTGAGTTCATTACCTTTGTAAATTGTGAGTTCATTACCTTTGTAAATTGTGAGTTCATTGCCTCTGTAACTTGCTCAGCTATCAAAACTTTGGAGTCCAGTCCCTGGACCAATTATGTACCTCTGTAATCTTTTGACTACCGCCCACAGGATGGGTATGGGGTGCATAATAAACATATTAAACTAACTAACTAAACAGGTTTTTTTCATATCACCTTTGATGTTATGTAATCTATTTTCATAATACAATTTTTTAGACCTTCTTATAAGGCTGGTAAGTGCTGACGAGTAACTTTTCGACTGTTCTCTAGTTATTTGACCCATTCTATACTGTTTTTCATATTTGTGCTTTGTGTTAATGGATTTGAGGATGCTAGGTGTTAGCCAGGGATTATTCAGTCTCTTTGCTGTGATCTGTTTTGTTTTTTGGGGGCAATGTTTGTTATAGAGGCTTCGGGCTCTTTTTTAGAAAAATTATTTATACATTCATTTATATCTGTATATGTTTCGAGCTCATTTTGCCATCAATGTTATTCATAGCTGCTATAAAGTTGTTAACTGCTGTCTCGTTATGTAGTCTGAAGGTTACTTTAGTAATGTCTTGTGGCAGTTTGCCCAGATTAGTTATGAGAAAGGTTGCGTAGTGGTCTGTAGTGTTGTCTGTGATTATGCCTGATTTTAAAGGGGATATAGTGTTTGTCCAGATGTGGTCTATTAAGGAGATGCTTGTCTCGGAGATTCTTGTAGGTTTAGATATTGCTGGTAGCAACAGGCAGTTACCCATTGTTTGTGAATTCGATTACTTGTGGGTCCTGGTCGTATAGTATGTTTATGTTGAAATCTCCTGTTAGGTGGCCCGGTGGCCTGGTGGTGGCCTGGTGGCTAAAGCTCCCGCTTCACACACGGAGGGCCCGGGTTCGATTCCCGGCGGGTGGAAACATTTCGACACGTTTCCTTACACCTGTTGTCCTGTTCACCTTGCAGCAAATAGGTACCTGGGTGTTAGTCGACTGGTGTGGGTCGCATCCTGGGGGACAAGATTAAGGACCCCAATGGAAATAAGTTAGACAGTCCTCGATGACGCACTGACTTTCTTGGGTTATCCTGGGTGGCTAACCCTCCGGGGTTAAAAATCCGAACGAAATCTTATCTTAGTAGTAGGTGGTCTTTATTCGTATGTGCATCAGTAATCATGTTTCCTAGTTTTTCACTAAAGTGGTAAATGTTTGACTGTGGTACTCTGTAGATGTTTATAACTGTGAGGGGTTTTTGCAGGTCTTTTGATTTAAATTTGGCTATGATATATTTTCCATGTTCGTTCCTTGTGCAAGATTTATTGATACATTAGAGTTTATTTGAGTAGTATATAGCTGTTCCTCCCCCTTGCTGGTCTGTTCTACAGTTGTGTATGGCCATGTAGCCACTAATGGCTATATGGATGTAAGCCACAGCGCCGTGTCTTCCTTTGCAGATGACACCCGAATTTACATGACACCGTAAGACTCCAGGCGGACATCAACCAAATCTTTAAATGGGCCGCAGAAAACAATATGAAGTTCAGTGATGAGAAATTTCAATTACTACGATATGGAAAACGTGAGGAAATAAAAAACTATATCGGAGTATAAAACAAATTCCAACCACACAATAGAGCGAAAAACTAATATAAAAGACCTGGGAGTGATCATGTCGGAGGATCTCACCTTCAAAGACCATAACAGTGTATCAAATCGCATCTGCTACAAAAATGACAAAATGGTTAATGAGAACCTTCAAAACTAGGGATGCTAAGCCCATGACACTCTTCAGGTCGTTTGTTCTATCTAGACTGGAATATTGCTGCACACTAACAGCACCTTTCAAGGTAGGTGAAATTGCTGACCTAGAAAATGTACAGAGAACCTTCACGGCGCACATAACTGCGATAAAATACACACTTTGAAAATCCTTGAGGGATTAGTACCAAACTTGCGCACGAAAATCACTCCCTATGAAAGGAAAAGACTCGGCAGACCATGCAACATCCCTGCAATGAAAAGCAGGGTCGCCACGAGCACGATAAGAGACAACACAGTTAGTGTCAGGGCCCCAAGATTGTTCAACTGCATCCCAGCATACGTAAAGGGGATTACCAATAAACCCTGGCTGTCTTGAAGAAGGCACTGGACAGGCACTTTTAGTCAGTACCTGACCAGCAGGGCTGTGGTTCGTACGTCGGGTTGCGTGCAGCCAACAGTAACAGCCTGGTTGATCAAGCTCTGCACCACCATGAGGCCTGGTCACAGACCGGGCCGCGGGGGCGTTGACCCCCGGAACCCTTTCCAGTTATACTCCAGGTGTCCCGTTGCTCGTGCACTCAGCTCACACACTAAGGTCCGGGGTTCGAATCTCCCCCGGTACGGCTAGAAAATATTAGGGACGTGTTTCCATAAGACACCCGCTGTCCCTGTCCCTGTTCATCCATCAGTAAAATGTGTACCTGGGTGTTAGTTGACTGGCGTGGGTCGCATCCTGGGACAAAACTGACCTAATTTGCTCGAAATGCTCAGCATAATAAGGGGCTTTGTATATAGTAGTATGTCACTGATGTCAGCTGGAACTGTATAACATGTACATGTACTTGTATTAAATAAAGATTTTATATTATTATATTATAAAAAATAACATCGATAAAATTCATTTGATGACGTAAAAGTGACGTCATGAAAATCCGTGAGGATCCGGATGTGTTACGAACGACTGTTGTTGTTGTTGTGGCAGCTGCACCAGCTCAGTTGTACCTCAGGTGGCAGTGTGTGGAGGGTAGTGCAATACTTTCATCCCTAGTATGTCTGATTTAGCGTCCCCGAAGTCGCCAGGGTCGGGCGAGTTTCCCCATGATGACTTCGACTACGATGACGACAACGACGCAGATTTTGAGGACTCCCGAGACTACGATGACAGGGAGAGTGATGACGGTGAGATGCTGGTACTCAGTACCACCTCTGTCTTACTGCTAGGCTTTTAATAAGAAGATATTACAAGGACCCCAGTGAAAATAAGTCACTTTGCCTGACTTTTGCGTCATCCTAAGTAATTTACACGTACAGTACCAACAATACCACAAGTCCGATGACATTCTTCTTTGCAAATATACAGGGTCTAAAGCCAGCAACAAACAACAAAATACCTTTCATCCGTGGACTGCTTGCAGAGGCAAAGGCAATGTTCGTGGCTTTCACTGAGACCCACATAAAGGATCACTTGGACAACGAAATATGGATCCCAGGGTACAACCTATACAGATGTGACAGAGTGAACAGGCAAAAGGGGGGGGGGGGTTGGCCTGTACATTGCAGAGTCACTTGTTTGCACAGAACTGCTTAATGCCTCAAATGATGTAGTAGAAGTTTTAGCAGTAAAGGTCGAGAACCAAAACCTAGTCATTGTGGTAGTCTACAAGCCTCCGGATACAACATCCCAGCAATTCCAGGAACAGCTGTTAAAAATTGACCACTGTCTGGAAAATCTTCCAGCTCCTGCACCCAACATCTTGCTCCTGGGGGATTTCAACTTAAGACACCTAAAATGGAGGAATATAGCAAATAATATTGTTGCAGTAATAACACCAGGAGGCAGCTCTGATGAAAACTCTCACTCACATGAGCTTTTAAATCTCTGCACAAAATTCAATTTAAACCAGCAAATAATAGAGCCTACTAGACTGGAGAATACACTAGACCTCATCTTCACTAACAATGATGATCTGATAAGAAATGTCACCATATCAAAAACAATTACTCAAAATCACAACATAATTGAGGTTCAGACATGTTTGCGTGGAGCCCCAGACCGACATAATGAGATTAGTCACGAGGGAGCATTCACCAAATTCAACTTCAATAACAAAAACATAAAGTGGGACCAAGTAAACCAAGTCCTAACCGATATAAGCTGGGAAGATATACTAAGCAACACAGACCCCAACTTATGCCTAGAACAGATTAACTTGGTGGCACTCGATGTATGCACAAGGCTTATTCCTCTAAGAAAAAGGAGGAGTAGATGTAAAATAGAGAGAGACAGGCGCTCCCTTTACAGGTGACAGAAAAGAATAACAGCGGCTAAAAGAGGTCAATATATCTGAAATGCATAGGGAGACACTGGTCAGAGAAATAGCAAGCATCGAACTTAAGCTAAAGGAATCTTATAGGAGTCAGGAATCGCGGGAAGAACTAAAAGCCATAAATGAAATCGAAAGAAACCCAAAGTATTTCTTCTCCTATGCCAAATCAAAGTCGAGAACAACGTCCAGTATTGGGCCCCTACTTAAACAAGATGGGTCCTACGCAGATGACAGCAAGGAAATGAGTGAGCTACTCAAGTCCCAATATGACTCAGTTTTTAGCAAGCCGCTAACCAGACTGAGAGTCGAAGATCAAAATGAATTTTTTATGGGAGAGCCACAGAATTTGGTTAACACAAGCCTATCTGATGTTATCCTGACGCCAAATGACTTCGAACAGGTGATAAATGACATGCCCATGCACTCTGCCCCAGGGCCAGACTCAGTTCATCAAGAACTGCAAGAAGCCCCTATCACGAGCCTTTACCATCCTATGGAGAGGGAGCATGGACACGGGGGTCGTCCCATAGTTACTAAAAACAACAGACATAGCCCCACTCCACAAAGTGGGTAGTAAAGCAACAGCAAAGAACTACAGACCGATAGCACTAATATCCCATATCATAAAAATCTTTGAAAGGGTCCTAAGAAGCAAGATCACCACCCATCTAGAAACCCATCAGTTACACAACCCAGGGCAACATGGGTTTAGAACAGGTCGCTCCTGTCTGTCTCAACTATTGGATTACTATGACAAGGTCCTAGATGCACTAGAAGACAAAAAGAATGCAGATGTAATATATACAGACTTTGCAAAAGCCTTCGACAAGTGTGACCATGGCGTAATAGCGCACAAAATGCGTGCTAAAGGAATAACAGGAAAAGTCGGTCGATGGATCTATAATTTCCTCACTAACAGAACACAGAGTAGTAGTCAACAGAGTAAAGTCCGAGGCAGGTACGGTGAAAAGCTCTGTTCCACAAGGCACAGTACTCGCTCCCATCTTGTTCCTCATCCTCATATCTGACATAGACAAGGATGTCAGCCACAGCACTGTGTCTTCCTTTGCAGATGACACCCGAATCTGCATGACAGTGTCTTCCATTGCAGACACTGCAAGGCTCCAGGCAGACATCAACCAAATCTTTCAGTGGGCTGCAGAAAACAATATGAAGTTCAATGATGAGAAATTTCAATTACTTAGATATGGTAAACACGAGGAAATTAAATCTTCATCAGAGTACGAAACAAATTCTGGCCACAAAATAGAGCGAAACACCAACGTCAAAGACCTGGGAGTGATCATGTCGGAGGATCTCACCTTCAAGGACCATAACATTGTATCAATCGCATCTGCTAGAAAAATGACAGGATGGATAATGAGAACCTTCAAAACTAGGGAGGACAAGCCCATGATGACACTCTTCAGGTCACTTGTTCTATCTAGGCTGGAATATTGCTGCACACTAACAGCACCTTTCAAGGCAGGTGAAATTGCTGACCTAGAAAATGTACAGAGAACCTTCACGGCGCGCATAACGGAGATAAAACACCTCAATTACTGGGAGCGCTTGAGGTTCCTAAACCTGTATTCCCTGGAACACAGGCGGGAGAGATACATGATTATATACACCTGGAAAATCCTAGAGGGACTAGTACCGAACTTGCACACGAAAATCACTCACTACGAAAGCAAAAGACTTGGCAGACGATGCAACATCCCCCCAATGAAAAGCAAGGGTGTCACTGCACGTTAAGAGACCATACAATAAGTGTCAGGGGCCCAAGACTGTTCAACTGCCTCCCAGCATACATAAGGGGGATTACCAACAGACCCCTGGCAGTCTTCAAGCTGGCACTGGACAAGCACCTAAAGTCGGTTCCTGACCAGCCGGGCTGTGGCTTGTACTTTGGTTTGCGTTCAGGCAGCAGTAACAGTCTGGTTGATCAGGCTCTGATCCACCAGGAGGCCTGGTCACAGACCGGACCGCGGGGGCGTTGACCCCCGGAACTCTCTCCAGGTAAACTCCAGGTATAATAATTATATACATGTACCTGAATAAACTTACCTTCAAGGAAGGTTCCTTGAAGTAAGTTTATTTAGGCACAGGTAAATATAAGTACAATTATCATGCAGTGTAAATTACTTATAATACCTTAGGATATATTTACATTGGACTCCTTGATTTATTTTCATTGAGGGATCTTGATCCTAGGAATGGCACCTGTGTTCAAGTTCCTTGAATACCTTTCATTCCCTCGGTCACTGTATGACCCCTACAGATTTAGAGCTCCCCATGAATGTAATAATAGTAATTCAGTGATCTATCCTAAATGGGTAATAATTGAATGTTGCTTTGGCAGATCTTGGAAATAAAATGTATTTTATTTTATGCAATATTGAGTTTTACATTAGAGATAGTATTAAGTTATACAAATTAGAAAAAAGTGAGAGTGTAAGAGAGTGAGTGAGTAAGAGAGTGAGTGAGTAAGAGAGTAAGAGAGTGAGTGAGTAAGAGAGTGAGTGAGTAAGAGAGTAAGAGAGTGAGTGAGTAAGAGAGTGAGTGAGTAAGAGAGTGAGTGAGTAAGAGGTGAGTGAGTAAGAGAGTGAGTGAGTAAGAGGGGTGAAAGGAGTGAGTGAGTAAGAGTGTAGAGGAGTGAGTAAGAGAGTGAGTGAGTAAGAGAGTGAGTGAGTAAGAGAGTGAGTGAGTAAGAGAGTGAGTAAGAGAGTGAGTAAGAGAGTAAGAGAGTGAGTGAGAGAGTGTGAGTGTGAGAGTGTGAGAGTGAGAGTGAGAGTGTGAGTGTTGTCATTGAATGTAACTCAGTGACAGCACTTTAAATTATAGGCAAAATCCATTGGTTAAATTGTACTTTAATGCCTTTGCAATGTTCTTTGCAGCATATCTATAAATTGTGGGTACATTACTCTATTAGGTATACAACTGATACAACAGACACCCCTTATTAGTCCATTATAACGATGGTTACTGAATGGTGGCATTTCAACGAGGCTTTCTGGTAATTCAATACATCACTATTATTACAGATACTGACTTGGGAAGTGAGGGAGAAACAAGAGGAAAAGAAGAATATGCTGGTATTAAGGAACAGTAAGTATTGTATATAATTTTTTTTTTGAGTGAGATTAAGAAGATGGAGGGAATATTTTGAGGAATTGTTAAATGTTGATGAAGATAGGGAAGCTGTGATTTCATGTACAGGGCAAAGAGAAATAACATCTTGTAGGAGTGAGGAGGAGCAAGTTGTGAGTGTGAGAGAAGTTCGTGAGGCAGTGGGTAGAATGAAAGAGGGTAAGGCAGCTGGGATTGATGGGATAAAGATAGAAATGTTAAATGCAGGTGAGGATGTAGTTCTTGAGTGGTTGGTGCTTTTATTTAATAAATGTATGGAAGAGGGTAAGGTGCCTAGGGATTGGCAGAGAGCATGCATAGCTCCTTTGTATAAAGGCAAGGGGACAAAAGAGAGTGCCAAAATTTTAGGGCAATAAGTCTGTCGAGTATACGTACAGTGGTACCCCGAGTTTTGGCCATAATTCATTCCAGAAAACTGTTCAAGTGCTGTTACTGAACGAGTTTGTTCCCATGAGGAATAATGTAAATTAAGTTAGTCCATTTCGGACCTCCAAAAGTACATTTACAAAAGCACTTACAATAATTCACCTACATGATTGTTTGAGTTGGGAGCTGTATGAAACTCGGGGTGCCACTGTACCTGGTAAAGTGTATGGTAAAGTTATTATTGAAAGAATTAAGAGTAAGACAGAGAGTAGGATAGCAGATGAACAAGGAGGCTGTAGGAAGAGTAGGGGGTGTGTAGAAACATATAGGTGAACAGTATTTAGATAAGAGTAAAGAGGTTTTTGTGGCATTATGGATTTGGAAAAGGCATATGGCAGGGTGGATAAGGGGGAAATGTGGCAGATGTTGCAAATGTATGGAATAGGAGGTAGGTTATTGAAAGTGGTGAAAAGTTTTTACAAGGATAGTGAGACTCAGGTTAGAATATGTAGGAGAGAGGGAGATTATTTCCCAGTAAAAGTATGCCTAGACAAGGATGTGTGATGTCACCATGGTTGCTCAGTATATTTATAGATGGGATTGTAAGAGAAGTGAATGCTCGAGTGTTAGAAAGAGGTGTGGGGTTAAAAGATAAAGAATCTAACACAGTCACAGTTCCTCTTTGCTGATGACACTGTGCTTTTGGGAGATTCTGAAGAGAAGTTGCAGAGGTTGGTGGATGAGTTTGGTAGGGTATGTAAAAGAAGAAAATTAAAAGTGAATATCGAAAAGAGTAAGGAGATGAGGATAACAAAAAAATTAGGTAACGAAAGATTGGATGTCAAATTGGAGGGAGAGAGTGTGGAGGTGAATGTATTCAGATGTTTAGGAGTGGACATGTCAGGAGATGGGCCTATGAAAGATGAGGCGAATCATGGAATTGACAAGGAAAAAAATTTGGTAGGTGCACTGAAGACTTTGTCGAGACGAACAACTTTGTCCATGGAAGCAAAGAGGGGGAATATGTGAGAGGAAAGTTATACCAACAGTCTTACATGGGTGTGAAGCATGGGTAGTGAATGTTGCAGCAAGGAGAAGGCTGGAGGCACTGGAGATGTCATGTGTGAGGACAGTTTGTGGTGTGAACACAATGCAGAGAATTCGTAATTTGGAAATTAGGAGGAGTTGTAGGATTACCAGAACTATTATTGAAAGGGCTGAGGGGTTGTTGAGGTGGTTCAGACATGTAGAGAGGGTGGGACAAAATAGAGTGTATAAATCTGTTGTGGAGGAAAAGCGGGGTGGAGGTCAGCTGAGGAAAGGTTGGAGGGAGGGTGGTAAAGGAGATTTTGTGCACGAGGGGCTTGGACTTCCAGTAAGCATGTGTGAGCGTGTTAGATAGGAGTGAATGGAGATGGATGGTTTTTAGGACTTGACGTGCTGTTGGAGTGTGAGCAGAGTAATATTTATGAAGGGATTCAGGGAAACCTGCAGGCCAGACTTGAGTCCTGGAGATGGGAAGTATAGTGCCTGCACTCTGAAGGAGGGGTGTCAATGTTGCAGTTTTATAATTGTAACGTAAGCGTGCCTCTGGCAAGACAGTGATGGAGTGAATGATGGTGAAAGTTTATCTTTTTCGGGCCTCCCTATCTTGGTGGGAAACTGCCGATGTGTTAATAAAAAAAATTAAAAAATGAGGAATGTGCACAGCATACACAGTGAAATCCCAAGTTTCAAATGTATCGACAATCAAACACTTTAAGTTTTGACCACTTTTTTCGAACCTATTTTGTCCCAAGTATCGAACGCTTCCCGTGTTTCGAACCGCTGGGTACCAGACCTGTCCACCTGCCCACTCTGTCTGCGTCTCTGCGCAGGCGTTGTGAGCCAGTCTGGCTTTGTTTATGCTTCAATGAACACTAACCTGCGTGCTTATTTAAACATTTCACAATTAATTCATTGTGTTTGGTGCTTGTTTATTAAATGTGACTCTGAAATAAGCTACTCTGGTGGTGATAGTGGATGGTGGTGGCGGTGGTGGTGGTGGTGGATGGTATTGGTGGATGGTGGTGGTGGTGGATGATGATGGTGGTGGTGATGGATGGTGGTGGTGATGAATGGTGGTGGTGGATGGTATTGGTGGTGGATGGTGGTGGTGGTGGTGGATGGTGACTTCTTCAGAGATTAACCCTTTGACTGTCGCAGGCCCCTTTCTGAAACTGTCATTCTATGTCGCAAAATATTTGAAAAAAAGAAATTCTTACCAAAATGTTAAGATTATTTTACTGAGAGTTTTAAGCCTAAAAATTTTTTTTTGCCGTAGTACTTACTGAGATATAGAGGCGCAAAGTTGGCAGAAAATGAGCGGCATATGGCAACAGCGGTGAATGCCGCCCTCCCGGTATTCTTTTATTTACTCCAATTCGAAGGTTTCTTGTATTTTCCAATATTTTTCTTTTCTAAGTAACTTATGTGGCCTGTGAGACCAAAGTAAGGTGCATTGTTCAAATATACACTCATTGTTTACAACACAATAACTGAACAAGCATTATTGGGGCTCTGGTGGCCTGGTGGCTAACGCTCTCGCTTCACACGGCGAGGGCCTGGGTTCGATTCCCAGCCAGAGTAGAAACATTGGACGTGTTTCTTTCCACCTGTTGTCTATGTTCCCCATCAGTAAAATGGGTACCTGGGTGTTAGTCGACTGGTGTGGGTCGCATCCTGGGACACTGACCTAATTTGCCCAAAATGCGGAGCATAACAAGGGAGTTTCTATATACTAGTAGTATGTCATTGTTGTCAGCTAGGACTGTATACCTTGTACATGTACTTGCAGTAAATAAAGATATTATTATTATTATATTATTATTATTATTATTGCTATTAGATTGTGTATAAAACTTGTTTACACAGATAAACAATACGAAACATTGTTTATTACCATTATTCCATAATATATATACATATGTACAGTCACTGAACACTTTCCTAGAACTGCTGAAGCTTGTGGAACTCTTTGAAACGTGGGTATATGCAGAGTGGTACTTGACACTCCTCACACATAAAACGAGTGTCTCTGCATGTTTGTGGGTGTTTTGTGGTATGTCCACATACAAAACACCTTTTCTGAGCACTTCTCTTGAAAGCAGTAGGAGGCAGTTGTATGGGGTAGTGATCACCAGGCCTCAAACGAGATGGCATGTGTTGGTAATTTCGTGGGTGCTGGTCTATTGCAGGTGTTGCTCCTTGGTACTTGACAATTATTTGTCTGATGACTGACAAACAAAATTCACTATATTTTGGTTTGGTGTTGGTCCTCAACTTGTATATGTTATAAGCATTTAGCATGGAAATATCAAGAAGATGGAAAAAAAGTTTTATATACCACTTATAACTCTTGCGTACACAATCAGCAAACCCAATCTGCATGTCACCTTTGTCCACTAAGCACATATTGAGGTTATAGTCCATGACAGCTGCAGATTTTAGAATGGGTTCATTGGTCTCTCTATTGTGCCTGCCAGTGTGTGCCATTTCGTTTTGGTGAACTGATGTCAAGAATGTGAAGTCACATTTGTCATGCCACCGAAATGCCATGATGTCATTGGCAGCAAAGGCCTTATGATTACCACACACTGTGCCACACACGTCTGTCAGGTTCACTCGCAAGAAATCACTGAGTATGGGGCATGTGTACCAGTTATCAGTATATAATATATGCCCCTTGCCAAGATATGGTTCCATCATTGTTCGAACCACATCACCAGAGATACCCAATAACTTCCTGGTATCTCTCAATGTATTACTGCCAGTGTACACAATGATATCCAAAACGAGACCACTTTTGCAATCACACAGTACAAATAACTTTATACCAAAGTGTTTCCTCTTGCTTGGTATGTACTGCCTGAATGAGTCTTCCTTTGAATAAAATCAAAGACTCTTCAGTAACAAGCTTCCTGAAGGGATTAAAAATACAAGCAACACTTTTGTTTCAGATACATAAACACATTTCTGATCTTATATAACCTGTCGGTTCTGTCAGGCCTTGTTTTGTCTGAAAAGTGTAATATACGTAACAGTATCAAAAAACGATTTACTCCTATAATATCACTAAAACCTGGGGTTGAAATCAGGCGTTCTGTTGACCAGTATGTGGTGACAGTGTGCTTATACACATGTGGCATCAGCATTATTGTGGCAAAGAACAGGTACATCTCTGCCACAGTTGTGTCCTTCCACTGATGTAGCCATGATCTTGGTAAAAGAATTGTATTTGCCATGGTGTACTCATAGTATGTGTTGGTTTCCCTGACAATAATGTCCATCAGGGGTTCACCAAAGAATAACTGAAAGCATTCTAGTTCAGTGGCATTGTTCCCAAGTTTACACGATGGCCGTATTCCACTTTGTGCTTCATCAAAGTCATGGGGATTGGGAATAAAATCGTCACCTTGCTGCCAATTCCAGATGCGGTCTGCTGGTGGGTTCTGGTTATTGAAACGTGGTTGTGGTTGTGCAGGTTGTGGTTGTGGTTGTTGTGGGAGTGCGGGGTTGGGTGAGGCTGGTTGTAGTTGTGCAGAGTCAGCAGCGTTGGTAGTAGCGTGGGCCCACTGCTGGTGCCACACGACTCATGCCACCGCCAACATCGCCACCACCATCACCTTCTTCCCCACGCACATTACACATCCCCATTGTAATAATATCATCATCTTCACTGTCAGGTCATGGTGTAGGGCCACGGGATGTTCTCCCAGATTTACTCCTTTGCCTTGGAAGGGCATAAGGCACACTACCAGAACACATGCTGCGTCGAACATACTGCCATTTCACTGGCGAATATTCCCCCTCACTGTCGCTACTTGAGCTGCTGTCAATAACTTTGAAATCACTATTATTATCACTTTCACTGCTCAGATCTGAGTCCTGTAAATGGGGAAATAGTTTCCTTTATCGTCCTGGTACAGGTGAACGTGAGTGAGATGTGCCGGCACCAGAGGTGGACGGTTGTCGGTCATCGGGGTTTTCATCACTAACGTAATCCTGGGCACTGCTTTTGGTCACACCCTCTCCAAAACCATGAAATTCACTTTCACTGGCACTTCCATCACTGTTAGAACTATCACTTGGGAACAGTAGACCTCCAGCATGCTGAGGAGTGAGGTACTTCTTACCGTGAGGCATGGTGAAAATGAACTACCAAGATGGCATTCCCACAATGCACCACTGAGTCCCAGATTTTTTTTCACAGGGTGCACACCCACCACTGAGACCCATTCTCTCTCATGTAGGCCTACCAGCTTTCTCCCACTTGATTTGAAGCCGCTAGAATTTACGCGTATAAATATGTTCGAAACAGTGGCGCGTAAGACGTATATATACGACCGAAACAGTCAAAGGGTTAAGGAGATTTGTGCAGTGTGGAATAGGGTGTAGGCATTTGCTGAAAAATATCACCCTGAGCAAGCTGAAACAAGCCATCTCTGCAACAAGTTCAGTGACAGACCATGTCCCATTTTAGGGAAGTCTTAACCCTTTGATTGTCGCGGCCGTATATATACGTCTTACGAGGTACCGTGTTTGACGTATATATACTCATAAATTCTAGCGGCTTCAAATCAAGCAGGAGAAAGCTGGTAGGCCTACATGTGAGAGAATGGGTCTGTGTGGTCAGTGTGCACCATATAAAAAAAATCCTGGAGCACGCAGTGCATAATGAGGAAAAAAAAAACTCCGACCGTTTTTTCTAATTAAAATGCCGACTTTGTGGTCTATTTTCGTATAGTATTTATGGGTGTATTCTCGTTTTCTTGGTCTCATTTGATAGAATGGAAAACATATTATAGAAATAGAGGTGATTTTGATTGATTTTACTATAAAAAGAACCTAGAAATGGAGCTCAAAGTAGGGGAAATGTTTGATTTTTCCAATGTTCAAAAGTAAGCAAATGATGCCATTTTCCAGTAAATGTCCAACTAGCCATTCTAATATGCAGTCATGAATGGGTTGATGTTATTTATACAATTATTACAGTATTGCAGTAGTCTGCATAATAGTAAGTCTTCAATTTTTTGTTTGAATAAAAATTCAAAATAGAAAGCAAGAGTAATATCAGAGGGGCCTGGAAACACGACTGATGAGCAAAGAAAATGTTATTTTAGAGCCAGGAATGTCTGCATTGTTCATTCTGGACCTTATTTTGAAATTGTCGTAGTTTTTAGTTTTCGTGAAATTGGCCAAATTGCAAATTTCTGACCACATTATTAGGTAGTTGAAATCGGTAAATGGGCAGTTTCTTGTACTCAATCGATAGAAAAAATGGAGTTCTAAAGAAATAGCTATGAGTTTGGGCGACTGGAACAATGGAATTAGCCAAAAATAGGGCTCAAAGTGGGCGAAATCGCTGATTAGTAAACAGCGCCGAGGTCGCTAACTTTGCAAGAGCATAATTCCGTCAGTTTTCCATCAAATTTCGTTTTTTTGGTGTCATTACAATCGGGAAAAGATTCTCTATCATTTCATAAGAAAAAATCATTTTTTTTTTTTTAAATTTTGCGACACCAGGAGACACCTCAGGATTGGGGGTTGCGACAGTCAAAGGGTTAACCCTTTCAGGGTCCGTCCCGTAGATCTACGGCTTTACGTTCAGGGTCCAAACCGTAGATCTACGCCATGAGCTCAGCTCACTCTGATAAACTGTGAGTGGTACATTTGGGCCTAGATATGAGAGAATACATCTATGTGGTATGTGTGCACCACATAAAACAGATCCTGCAGCACACTGTGTATAATGAGAGAAAAAAAACTTTAATCATGATTTTTCGATTAAAACAGCAACTTTGCAGTGTTTTTTCGTATGTTTTTTATGGTTGTATTTGCAATTTCTTGGTCTCATTTGATAGAATGGAAGACATATTACAGAAATAGAGATGATTTTGATTGGTTTTAGCACTGGAAATGGCTTGAAACTGAGCTCAAAGTAGCGGAAATGTTAAATTTGTGCCGATATTCAAGAGTAAACAAACGACCTCACACGTCTAATACACGTCAGCTGGTGGGTCTAATATACATTCACAAATATGTTGATGATATTTATACAATTATTACAGTATTGCATAACAGTAAATCTTCTATTTTTTGGTGTGAATAAAAATTCATTATGTGAATAAAAAATCAAAATGGAATTTATTTGTGAAGCCTCAAAACATAACTAATGAACAGAGGAAACGTTAGTTTAGTGCCAGGAATGCCTACATTGTTTATTCTGGACCCTATTTTGAAATTGGAATATTTTGAACTTTGTGTTAAATTGGCCAAATTAACAATTTCCGATCACTTTATTTTGTAGTTGAAACAGTTGACTTGGCGATTTCTTGTGCTCAATCGATAGAATAGAAGTAATACTAGTGAAATAGCTAAGAATTTGGTTGATTGGAATAATGTAATTGGCCTAAAATGGGAGTCAAAGTCAGCAAAATCGCCGATTCGTAAATGTCGCTGACACATCAAAATTCACGAGAGCATAATTTCGTCAATTTTCCACCAAATTTCGTACTTTTTGTTTTATTACCTTCACAAAAAGATTCTCTACGATTTCATAAGAAAAAATAACAAATTTTTTTTTTTTGAAAATTCTTGGACACTGGTGCGTGACTCCAGATTTGGGCCTTGGACCCTGAAAGGGTTAAAGAAGGGAAGTAACCCCAGATAAGGACTTGTTACCTAAAGTCTTTATGGAAAGGGATTCCCCTTCCAAACAGTAAGTGCTCCCTCACTCCTCACTATCTTCCAGATGCCATCAACAATCTTCAATAAAGGTAAGTAAAAATGTTATGTTATATGTTTATTTAAATGTTTATTTATCTATTACTAATTGTACTATGTATTTTTGTTTTGTGTATATAAAACTATAATTAATCTCTATAAAATGTATTTTTTTTTTTTTGTGAATATTTTTGGGTTTCTGGAATGGATTAATTGTATTTACATTATTTATTATGGGAAATATTGCTTCGAGTTTCGAACGTTTCAACTTTAGAACTAGCTTCTGGAATGGATTAAATTAGAAACTCGAGGTTCCACTGTACTTTATTAGATGTCAGATATGCATGATACACCAAAGTACACTTTGAATTGATGTATGCTAATAATGCATAGTAAAGAATACTTATAAAGTTAATTCAGCTCATAATTTTCATGTTGAAATTTAATCACAAAATAGCCTATGTTTAAAGAGGAATAGGCTTAAAGAATGTATCCACTTTCAGTTATTTATCACGGTGCTGGTGCCTTATGATACATTCTCTAAGAGTTCATAAGTGTGGATAATGGGCCTTTACCTCACTTTTGTCAGAGAAGTCAGTATTCCTGATGAACATCAGTCACATCTTTTACAACTGACAAGTTTGGTGGCCTCTTAATGTTTTCTTTTTTCATCATCACTGTCCTGTTCTTCTATGCCAAGAGTCTGCTTTGCAATTTCTGCATCACTCAGGATCATCATTTTCTTCTAACTATACCATCACATCTTCCTCTGTAACTTCTGTTTCTTCCATCCTCAAACCGTCAAAATTCAACTCAATATCAAGGTTCTGTAACAGTTTCTGCTAACCACTGGCAAATGTCCTTTCCAGGTTCCTTCTTGATGCTGCATGGTTGAAGATTTTGTCTGGTAAATAGAGCATTTGTACAGCCATTTTTTTTGTCTGAAATTGTTGAAATTCATTAACAACAGGTCAGTTAATGAGAGGATTCACTGCAGGTAGCTTTTTTTTAAATATTTAAATGTGTGCGATAAAAACTAGGTATGGCTGTTTAATTACTTGGTTACATTACTTTTAGCTCATAAATAAATACAGTGGTAATTTCAGCAATCTCAAAGTTATTTCTCTTTTTTTATATTTTGATTATCTAGCCAATTTTCTCCAATTACATTTTGTTTTATTTCATAGAATGTATCAAGATAAACTTGCTCAACTGAAGAAACAACTCCAACAGCTGCGTGACAGCAGTCATCCAGAATACAACAAAAAGCTTAAAAAGATTGATGTAGCGTACAAAGAAAGGTATGGTTGATTATTATTATTTTATTATTATCACACCGGCCGATTCCCACCAAGGCAGGGTGGCCCGAAAAAGAAAAACTTTCACCATCATTCACTCCATCACTGTCTTGCCAGAAGGGTGCTTTACACTACAGTTTTTAAACTGCAACATTAACACCCCTCCTTCAGAGTGCAGGCACTGTACTTCCCATCTCCAGGACTCAAGTCCGGCCTGCCGGTTTCCCTGAATCCCTTCATAAATGTTACTTTGCTCACACTCCAACAGCACGTCAAGTATTAAAAACCATTTGTCTCCATTCACTCCTATCAAACACGCTCACGCATGCCTGCTGGAAGTCCAAGCCCTCGCACACAAAACCTCCTTTACCCCCTCCCTCCAACCCTTCCTAGGCCGACCCCTACCCGCCTTCCTTCCACTACAGACTGATACACTCTTGAAGTCATTCTGTTTTGCTCCATTCCTCTACATGTCCGAACCACCTCAACAAACCCTTCCTCAGCCCTCTGGACAACAGTTTTGGTAATCCCGCACCTCCTCCTAACTTCCAAACTACGAATTCTCTGCATTATATTCACACCACACATTGCCCTCAGACATGACATCTCCACTGCCTCCAGCCTTCTCCTCGCTGCAACATTCATCACCCACGCTTCACACCCATATAAGAGCGTTGGTAAAACTATATTCTCATACATTCCCCTCTTTGCCTCCAAGGACAAAGTTCTTTGTCTCCACAGACTCCTAAGTGCACCACTCACTCTTTTTCCCTCATCAATTCTATGATTCACCTCATCTTTCATAGACCCATCCGCTGACCGTCCACTCCCAAATATCTGAATACGTTCACCTCCTCCATACTCTCTCCCTCCAATCTGATATTAAAATCTTTCATCACCTAATCTTTTTGTTATCCTCATAACCTTACTCTTTCCTGTATTCACCTTTAATTTTCTTCTTTTGCACACCCTACCAAATTCATCCACCAATCTCTGCAACTTCTCTTCAGAATCTCCCAAGAGCACAGTGTCATCAGCAAAGAGCAGCTGTGACAACTCCCCTTTGTGTGTGTTTTCTTTATCTTTTAACTCCACGCCTCTTGCCAAGACCCTCGCATTTACTTCTCTTACAACCCCATCTATAAATATATTAAACAACCACGGTGACATCACACATCCTTGTCTAAAGGCCTACTTTTACTGGGAAAAAATTTCCCTCTTTCTACATACTCTAACTTGAGCCTCACTATCCTCGTAAAAACTCTTCACTGCTTTCAGTAACCTACCTCCTACACCATACACTTTGCAACATCTGCCACATTGCCCCCCTATCCACCCTGTCATACGCCTTTCCAATCCATAAATGCCACAAAGACCTCTTTAGCCTTATCTAAATACTGTTCACTTATATGTTTCACTGTAAACACCTGGTCCACACACCCCCTACCTTTCCTAAAGCCTCCTTGTTCATCTGCTATCCTATTCTCCGTCTTACTCTTAATTCTTTCAATTATAACTCTACATACACTTTACCAGGTACACTCAACAGACTTATCCCCCTATAATTTTTGCACTCTCTTTTATCCCCTTTTCCTTTATACAAAGGAACTATGCATGCTCTCTGCCAATCCCTAGGTACCTTACCCTCTTCCATACATTTATTAAATAATTGCACCAACCCCTCCAAAAACTATATCCCCACCTGCTTTTAACATTTCTATCTTTATCCCATCAATCCGGCTGCCTTACCCCCTTTCATTTTACCTACTGCCTCACGAACTTCCCCCACACTCACAACGGCTCTTCCTCACTCCTACAAGATGTTATTCCTCCTTGCCCTATACACGAAATCACAGCTTCCCTATCTTCATCAACATTTAACAATTCCTCAAATATTCCTTCCATCTTCCCAATACCTCTAACTCTCCATTTAATAACTCTCCTCTCCTATTTTTAACTGACAAATCCATTTGTTCTCTAGGCTTTCTTAACTTGTTAATCTCACTCCAAAACTTTTTCTTATTTTCAACAAAATTTGTTGATAACATCTCACCCCTCTCTCATTTGCTCTCTTTTTACATTGCTTCACCACTCTCTTAACTTCTCTCTTTTTCTCCATATACTCTTCCCTCCTTGCATCACTTCTACTTTGTAAAAACTTCTCATATGCTAACTTTTTCTCCCTTACTACTCTCTTTGCATCATCATTCCACCAATCGCTCCTCTTCCCTCCTGCACCCACTTTCCTGTAACCACAAACTTCTGCTGAACACTCTAACACTACATTTTTAAACTACCCCATACCTCTTCGACCCCATTGCCTATGCTCTCATTAGCCCATCTATCCTCCATAGCTGTTTATATCTTACCCTAACTGCCTCCTCTTTTAGTTTATAAACCTTCACCTCTCTCTTCCCTGATGCTTCTATTCTCCTTGTATCCATCTACCTTTTACTCTCAGTGTAGCTACAACTAGAAAGTGATCTGATATATCTGTGGCCCCTCTATAAACAGTACATCCTGAAGTCTACTCAACAGTCTTTTATCTACCAATACATAATCCAACAAACTACTGTCATTTCGCCCACATATATGTGTTACTTATTTATCCTCTTTTTTTTAAAAATTATGATTACCTATAATAAACCCCTTTTATACAATTTTTCAATCAAGGGCTCCATTATCATTTAACCTGGCCCCCCAAATTCCCTACCACCCCCTCTCAAAAAAGTTTCCCCTACTTTGCTTTTCAGTCCCCCCCCACAATTCTCTTCACGGGTCAAAGGCTCCTTACATTCACTTAACATTCCAAAATCTTCCCCTTCTCTGCTTTCCCTTCTTCTCCAGGTGCTACACGCTTATTTGACCCATTTCGCATCCAACCTTTACTTTAACCCACAAAATTTGAATTTCACTTCAATTTCTTTTCTCCTTTCCCTAAAATGATTTTAACATTTGCTACCCCTTCCTTTTCTTAACTCTCTCAGTACTCCAGATTTAATCCCTTTATTTCCCCCCCTGAAAAAATCTCCTACCCCCTTCGCTTTGTTTCGCTTGGGGGCCCGGACATCCAACTTTTTTTCATTATAACATCAGCAATCATCTGTTTCTTTTCATCCGCACTACATCCCCGCACATTTAGAACCCAGTTTTTTAAAGTTTTTCTTTTCTCTTTTTTAGTAATTTTTCAGGAGAAGGGGGTTTTAAACCCCTTGCTCCCCGGGATTTTAGTCGCCTCTCGACACGCTGGCTTACGGAGGAAAAATTTTTTCCCCTTCCCCCCTGGCAATAGAAGAAATTAAAAAAGAAAAAGACTATTTAGAAAAGGAGAAAAACCCGAGTATGTTTTATATGCATGTGGTTCTGTGAAGTGTGACCAAAGTGTAAGTAGGGTAGCAAGATATCCCGTTATCTTAGCGTGTTTATGAGACAGAAAAAGAAACCAGCAATCTCCATCATGCAAAAAAGTTACGGTTTTTGTTTCACAGTCATCTGGCAGGGCGGGAGTACTTCCCGGGTGGGTTTCTGTCTACCAACCCACTACCCGTTGATATTCTGGTAATAAAAATTACCTCAATGTTTATGATACACCAAAGTACACTTTGAATTGATGTATGCTAATATCCCATAGTAAAGAATACTTATAAAGTTAATTCAGCTCATAATTTTCATGTGAAATTAATAATCACAAAATAGCTTTTAAAGAGAATAGGCTTAAAGAATGTATCCACTTTCAGTTATTTATCACGTGCTGGTGCCTTATAAAATCATTCCTAAGAGTTCATAAAGTGGTGGTAATCATTACCTCATTTAAATTTTCCAGAGAGTCCAGTTTTTCCTGATGAACATCTCACTCTTTCCCAATGACAATTTGGTGGCTCTTAATGTTTCTTTTTTCATCACACTGTTCTTCTCTATGCCAGATTCTCTTTTGGCAACTTCTTGCATCACTCAGGATAAATCATTTTCTTCTAACTATACATCCACTTCCTCTGTAACTTCTGTTTCTTCCACCCTCAAACCGTCAAAATTCAACTCAATATAAGGTTCTGTAACTTCTCTGAAACCCATTGCAAAGTCCTTTCCAGGTTCCTTCTTGATGCTGCATGTTAAGATTTTTGTCTGGTAATAGAGCATTTGTACAGCCATTTTTTTTTTTTATGTCTGAAATTGTTGAATTCATTAACACCAGGTCAGTTAATGAGAGGATTCTATGCAGGTAGCTTTTTTTTTAAATATTTAAATGTGGCATAAAAACTAGGTATGGCTGGTTTTAATTACATTGGTTCGAAACTTTTATTAGCATCATAAATAAATACAGTGGTAATTTACAGCAAACTCAAAGTTATTTCTTTTTTTATATTTTGAGGTTTCTAGTGCCAAATTTTATAGATTACATTTTTGTTTTAGTTTCATAGAATGTATCAAGATAAACATTGCTCAACTGAAGAAACAACTCCAACAGCTGCGTGACAGCAGTCATCCAGAATACAACAAAAAGCTTAAAAAGATTGATGTAGCGTACAAAGAAAGGTATGGTTGATATTACTGGTAATACAAAATTACCCTCAATGCTAGGTCATCCTAATGTGGTTGAAAGTTTTGAGTGATTTGTACCTGAAAAAAAGACCTCTCAAGTCAGGTATACGTGCTTTTCTGCATAAGTTATGGGTATGTCCTGTTTTGTTAAAATTTGTTATTGCTGACTTAAAGTATTCACTTCATCCAAATGTCATTGACTCCATCATGTAGGCAGTTTCATACCATTCTAGTTCCAAATTAGAACATATTCTTAATAATTGTTCTAAACCACATTGAGTAAGAAAGTTTCAGGAAACATTTTCTGTAACTATTTTTTAGACAATTGCCGAGTGTATTTACGAGTTCCTTTAGTTCAACAGGATGCTGTACTGTACATGTATCCCATCAGGAAAGATAGTTGTTTCACTAGCTTTCTGAAATGGTTAATTTACCATTAAATATATTTGTAAACCAAAAGTTGTGCCTCCTTTTTAACCTTAGTAACCACAATATTAACTAAGATTTTACTTCATTCAAACAGACTGCGAATTAATGATTTATGGCGTGAAATTGAGACTGAGTGGGTTGAACGTGATTATTTAGCTGAAAAAAGATTAGCTGCTAGAGAATTTGAAGAAAAAAAGAAAGAACTTAAAGAAAACCTATTGATAGAACTTGAAGAAAAAAAGAAGATTATAGAGCAAGAGAGGTACACACTTGAGCTTACTGGGGACTCGATGGAGGTTAGTTTTTATTGTTCTTTATATAAAGTTATGATTGTCAATTGTAAGAATACTGTTCTTGCTGATTATTCAAATGAACCTTAAAATTACTAGAAGTAGTACAGTAGGACCCTGCTTTATGGCGTTTCACCTTACGGCATTCCATTAATATGGACATTTCAAATTATGACCAAAACTTTCTATATGGCTCCCCCCACCTGACTTTCTAATATGGTCACCGTGCCCCACCTGGTTTGTTTACATTCTCCATGAGCACGACTCTCCATTATGTCAAGAAACTTTCCAAAATTTCAAGTGTTTTAAAGTTATTTCATATTTTACATATACGGTGGACCCTTGGGTAACGGCATTAATCCGTTCCAGAGAGCTTGCCTTTAACCGATTTGAACATTAGCCGAATTAATTTTCCCCATAAGAAATAATGGAAATCCAATTATTCCGTTCCAGACACCCAGAAGTATTAAAAAAATAATTTTTTTACATGAAATATACATTTCCTTACACAGAAAACAATGAGACATGCAGAATAAATACAGTGGACCCCTGGTATACGATATTAATCCGTTCCTGAGAGATCATCGTATGCCAAAATTATTGAAAGGCGATTTAATTTTCCCCATAAGAAATAATGGAAATCAAATTAATCCATGCAAGACACCCAAAAGTATGAAAAAAAAATTTTACCACATGAAATATTAAGTTTAATGCACACAAACTGAAGAGGACATGCACAGTTTGTAGTACTCTACTAACAATAGAATACATGACACTTACCTTTAATGAAGATCTGGTGATGATTGATGGGATGGGAGGAGGGGAGAGTGTCGAAGTTGTTAATGTTTAGAAGGGGAATCCCCTTCCATTAGGACTTGAGGTAGCAGGTCCTTTTCTGGGGTTACTTCCCTTCTTCTTTTAATGCCACTAGGACCAGCTTGAGAGTCACTGGAACTCTGTTGCCATTCCTTTAAGATTTGTCTAAAATGGGCCATAACATTGTCATTGTAATAGTCACCAGCACGGCTTGCAATAGCTGTGTTAGGGCGATTTTCATCCATAAAGGTTTGCAGTTCAACCCACTTTGCACACATTTCCTTAATTTTTAAAGTAGGCACAGTGGATTCCACAACTGACATAGGCTTCTCAGGGTTAGCCCCAAACCCTTCAAAATCTTTCTTAATTTCCATACTAATTCTCACCCTTTTTACCACAGGGTTGGCATTAGAAGCTTTCTTGGGGCCCATGGTGACTTATTTTGCAGAAACAAGCACCAAAAACACTGTGATAATATGGAATGTACCGAATGTATGCTTAGATGCGAACACACTGGCTGGCTTGTAAACACTGGCACTCACGTGGACGCATCCTGGACGAATCGCATGTGGCGGGTTTTTTAACGAGTGGCGAGGCAAAATTTTTGCGTTAAGATGTATCTAATACCAGATTTAATGTATACCGATGCCATCGAATGCCGGGGGTCCACTGTACATAAATAATTACTAAAATGACACTTACCTTTATGATGAGTGATGAGACACTGTTTTTCTTGAACACTGGTATTTTCAGAGTGATACACGAGTGTCCATATCACACTGTGTAAAAACTCTGCACATAAGGGCCCCAAAATATGGAATTCATTACCAGAAGATATTACAGTAACCCAGTCTGAAAATCAATTTAAGACTCTTCTCAAAAGCCACTTAATCACTCATGTACTCCCACATCATAACTTCAACAATCACTTTGAACCTTTTATCCATTGTTGACAGGAATATAATTGAATCATTGTTTTCACAAAAACCATTTTTGAATAGATGATTATATCTTTTGTCTTATACATATTTTGATTCACTTATAATTAATAATCTACTGTACAACTATGATATAATTCTTAGTGTTAAGTAGTCTGTAAACCAATAATGTTAAGTTGGTACATAATGCCTAGACACAATAGAGGCTCTCTTTAGCCTGTCTTTCATAGGCTTGTGTCCTAGGAGTGCCTTTTCCTCCTGAGTAATGCAGGTCCTGTTTGGCATTTTCTTCCAGAACAGGCCTGTTTCATCACAATTGAACACTTGTTGGGGTTGGAATTTTTCAGCTTTTCCATGCCTTATCACACTGTGTATGCCACTTCTATTCTTAAATCTCTCAAACCAACCTTTGCTGGCCTTAAATTCACCAATATGAGCACTAGTTCCAGGCATTTTTTCCTGTTTACCTGGGTGTTAGTTGACTGGTGTGGGTCGCATCCTTGGGGGACAAGATTAAGGACCCCAATGGAAATAAGTTAGACAGTCCTCGATGATTCACTGACTTTCTTGGGTTATCCTGGGTGGCTAACCGTCTGGGGATAATTGTTTCTCGTTAAGCCACACCAACAACAGTCTCTCCACATCTTTGAGTATTTGCGATCTCTGTTTTGTAAGCATACTTGCATCTTTCACAACAACAGCTTACTTGATTGCCTTTTTATTGGCCAAGATAGTAGTGATGGTTGAATGGGGTTTGTTATATAACCTGGCCAACTCGGAGACACGCACTCCACTTTCGTACTTTACGATTACCTCTTTCTTTAATTCAATAATATTTCTCACCCTTTTTACCACAGGGTTGCCACTAGAAGCTTTCTTCGGACCCATGGTGGCTTAATTAGCAGTTACAAGCACTAAAAACAATGAAATAATACAAAAGTATCGCATGGAATCATCTGCACTGGCTTGTAAACAGTGGCACACTAGCTGAAGGCAGGGCGGCTCAGGCCAGGCGGACAGCCAGACATGTTCAGGACAGATGCCCTTAACCGAGTTCTTGGACATTAGTCGTGCCAATATTTTGATGCAAAAAGCGCTGCTGTCTGATTTTGCTGTTAGCTGATGCCACCTGTACCTGTACCTAAATAAACTTACATACTGTGCTGGCATGCAGGTACATGTTAAAATCACCAAGAGTGTCTACGTATTAACCCTTTGACTGTTTCTGCCGTATATATATACGTCTTACGAGCCACCATGTTTGACATGTTTGACGTATTAATATGCATAAATTCTGAGAGAATGGATCTCCATGGTCAGTGTGCACCATATTAAAAAATCGGGGAGCCAGTGGTGCATTGTGGGAATGCCATTTCAGTAGACCTTGTTCGGCATGCCTAGCGGTAAGAAATATGTGACTCCCCGGCAAATCTGGGACTCTACTCTTCCCAAGTGATGCTCTAACACAGATGGAAGTGTCAGTGAAGATCAGTTTCATGGTTTTTGAGGAGTTTGTGACCAAAAGCAATGCCCAGGATACCAGAAGAATGAAGGAGAATGAAGAATGAAGAAGAAAGAGAGAGAATGAGGGAGAAAGGTAATTAGATAGGATGGAGGGGAAGCTAGCATCCGACCCCATTGTTTTGACAGGCAGTAGGGGGAGTGAGTAATGAGACAATATGTCATTTTGACAGCTGTTACCCTGACAAAGAACAATTAGAAGCCAGCCCCCCCCACCCCCCACACACACACAAAACCAACACAAGCTTGCTGAATGAAGATAATAGCCCAGGATACCAGAAGAATGAAGGAGAAAGAGAGAGAATGAAGGAGAAAGATGATTAGATAGGATGGAGGGGAAGCAAGCATCTGACCCCATTGTTTTGACAGGCAGTAGGGGGAGTGAGTAATGAGACAATATGTCATTTTGACAGCTGCTACCCCGACTGAGAACAATTAGAAGCAACACACTCACACACAACACAAGCTTGCTGAATGAAGATAATAGCCCAGGATACCAGAAGAATGAAGGAGAATGAAGAATGAAGGAGATTGAAGAATGAAGGAGAATAAGGGAGAAAGATAATTAGATAGGATGGAGGGGAAGCGAGCATCCGACCCCATTGTTTTGACAGACATCAGGGGGAGTGAGTAATGAGACAATAGGTCATTTTGACAGCTGCTTCCCTGACTGAGAACAATTAGAAGCGAGCACTCACACACAAGACAAGCTTGCAGACACACTTGTTTTATGTGTAAGGAGTGTAAAACACCATTGTGTATGAAACCATGTTTCAAAGAGTTCCACAAGCTCCAGAACTTCTAGGAACATGTTCAGTGACTGTACATTTATATATAATATATATTATAAAACAATAATAATAAAAAAATTTTGTATTTGTTTGTGTAAACAAGTTTTGTAAACAATGTATTGATAATTATGTTTGTGTGCTTATTGTGTTGTATACAACGAGTGTATATATGTACATTGCACCTTACTTTGGACTCACAGGCCACATAAGTTATGTGAACAAATAAAATAGTGAAAAAAACAAGAAACCTTGGAATACAAGTAAACCAAAGTTTACCGGGTGAGCGGCAGTCACCGCTGTTGCCATACGTGGCTCATTTTCTGCCAACTTCATGCCTCTATATCTCAGTAAGTATTGATGGCAATTTTTTTTTGGGGGGGGGGACTAAAAGAATAAAAAAAATAATCTTAACATTTTCATAAGAAAAAAATATTTTATTATTTTTTTTTTTTTTTGAATATTTTTCGACACCAGGAGACACTTCAGAATTTGGAGTTTTGACAGTCAAGGGGTTAATAAGTCTTGAAGACACCATATTAATAATGATAATAATATTAAAAAATAATAATCACTCTGAGGTGCATTAAATGTCATATATGTATTATGTTAATATAGATATTTTGATTAATGCATCTAGGATATTTTTTTCAAAATTATGTAATAAAAACACTACGTAACATATAAACATGATAAATGCACCCCACAATAGAATAAATTAACATAAATACAGTGGACCCCTGGTTATCGGCCGGTTTGGTTATCAGCCAACTCGGTTGTCGGCAGGTTTTTCAGTGCCCGGTTATTGGCCGTTTTGGACGTGTCCATCCGCCGGCTGGGGCTTGCGCTTCAGTTTGGCTTTGTCTCTCGGTGGCTGAGGAGGCTTCTGCTCATACATCCAAACATTTCACTTGTTTACCATTGTTCTTAGTGGTTTTTCTTG